AATTATAGATTTATAAAGCCTATATCTTAAAATTCTAAACTCTAAAAAATGGTTCGACACCTAAAACCTCCTAAACACTCAAAAATAAACCCTAATAAAACATAATTAACCCAAACATAAATAATATAAAGAAAAAATAATTTTGAAAAAGTGGCATTTTTGTAAAGATTTCAAAAGTGTGCCATTTTTGTAAAGTGGAAATTGAAAAGTGGCATTTTTGTATAGTATTTCTTTAGATCCAAATTCATTTTCACATCTGACGTGAGAATTTAAACATATTTTTTTATATGTATAATTAAATATAAATACGAAAATTCGAATATGGAAAATCTCATTGTTACGGAACCATGAATCTCATGATTATTGGTGATAAAATATTTTAGTTGCTAAAATTTTGAACGTATTTATTATAATATGAGTTTAGAAAAAAAATTAAATAAATTAAAAATACTAAGAAAGTAAAACAAAATTTTTAAAGGAAACTAATGTTGACAGTATATGGACAAAATTAGTAAATTAATAAATTAGGGTATATTTAAGGGGTTTTAGTTTTGAATGTTGAAACTTAACTTTATTTTTGTGCTATTTGGAGAACATTTGAAAAATAGTGGTATTTGTTTGCCGCTAACCGCTAGTAACTTCTTAGTACAAAAAAAGAAATTTTGTAAGCAAAACAAACTATGCAATTTTATTTTCCTTCTAACATAATTAAGATATGTATGGGTTAACCTGTCAAAGACTTTGAAAGTGTATGTATTTCTCTAAATGATATGTATGGGTTAACCCGTCAAAGATTATTTTTCTTCTATTTTCTCTTAGTCAATGACTTTGAAAGTGTATATACTTCTCTAAATGATTATTCAATGACTCTTTGCTTTCTTTAACCCTTGTATAGTACTCTTTTTGTATCTTAATAGATGTTTTAGAGAATTTTTTAGTTTCATATTAGATGATATTTATAATTTCTATGTAAAACTAATTGTGTGTTTGTTGTTTTTTACTGTTTAAATTATGCTAATTTTTTTTAATTAGTTCCATGACTCGTTGTTTTCTTTGACCCTTGTATAGTACACTTTCTGTATCTTAATAGATGTTTTAGAGAATTTTTTTCTGTTTCATATTAGATGATGTTTTCAATTTTCTATGTAAAAAAAATTGTGTGTTTATTGTTTTTTACTGTTTAAATTATGCTAACTTTTTTTGGGGCAATTGCAAAAATATCAATTTTGGTATGTACATTTGCAAGAATGCCATTTACGGGTATCATTTGCAAAAATGCCACTAATTATGAATTTTTAAACCTTCAAAACTAAACTCTAATACAACATAGTTAAAATGATA